ACTATTGATTAAGTTTGTTAATTAACTAACTCTGTACAATGTTTATAAATTTATTGATGGAAAAAGTGGTATACATCCAACGATAATGTAAGAATTTGCGATTTAAGGTTTCATTACACACAATTCATACGAAATAAATCGGTAATTCAGTATAAAATTCGATATTCGTCATATCGGAAAACTAGCTTAACTGTTGTAGTTTTGACACTCTACTGCAACTCGATTTGTAGGCACGTGGCTTTAGGCGTTAAGTATCCCCCTCATAGGTCACAGGTTCGAAACCGGCAGCGGCGTTTTCTGCGACGAATGGTCGGCGACCCATTGAAGAGTATGGCCGCCCGGACTTTTTTGCATTTTTTTTTTACGATTTTTTCAACTAATTTTACAAATTCCCGATTGCTTTTCCTTATTATATATCATACAACTATACATATACGTTTGTATACCTATAGTTGGTATTTTTTGCAAGTTACTGAACCATAATTCATTCCTACGTATTCAACATATTTGTCTGGTATACGACAATTACATGTATATATTGTATACCGTCACTTCTTAGTGCCCCAGAATGAAACAATGTGTTAGGAACTTAGGTTACATTATGAATAATAATAATTATTGAATGCTTAAAATATTGTCAGTGTTAAAAGGGGGTGGATAGTGAGTAAGTTTTTATAATTCATGTATGTGCATTATACTTTGCATTGAGTAGGTACATAATACATCTATTTGTATGGTACAGCAGTTAGCTGTAGAATTTGTTGTTAATCTAACCTAACCTGGGTACGTTATAATATAATATTGATGGAGAGACACTAACCAAAACAATTACTATTTTCGCAAACTATGGTTTATTTTAACTTATCAAATAAAATAAACATTAATGTTACACACCACGAGTACCTACATTATTAAATTGCTTTAAATGAATGGGTTATAAATTTATTTCACGTAATACTTGATTAAGTGCATGCACACTTCATAATATTATAGTAGTTTATTGTTAAGTATACACAGGTCGGATATAAACTATATAAATAAAACAAAAGTATATTATAATAATGTATAATGTAGTTTTAATTAATAACATTTATCATAATAATATAATGCATAGATATATAATATATATTATGTGTAGAAAACAATGTTATTGGATAATTTAAAAAATTTAAAAAATTTAAATACAAAAAAAAATTGTTTAACTAGTAGGTTTAAAATATAAAAAAAAAAAATTTGGCCGCAAAAAAATTGTTATATAAATTGAAAAAAAAATTGGTTATTAAAATAAAAATAAATTAAGCTGGAAAAAACAATAAACATAAAAATTAAAATACAAGTATCACAACATTTCGCTCACGGATATCTTATATATATAAATAGTATTCCTTACTTAATATTGTCATTGTCATCATCTGGCACCTTTTCAGGGGCCTGCTGCTCCGGCGTGACTGCTTCTGCAGCATCAGAGGCCGTCTCTGGAACTTTAGAGGCCACCTCCGTTGTCCCTGTCGCCTTTGTTTTTTTATTTTTTCCCCCCTTTTTAGGTCTGTTGCCTGGAATTAAAAATAACATTGTTTATTATTATATGAACACGAAACGGTACTGCCAAGAAGTCCGAAGTAAAAAGTCTGCGGTGAAAAAGACCTAAACATCTAGATGCCTAAATAAGTAAAAGTAAAAATATGATGTGGTCAGGGCCCCCTGCCCCACAGACCCATAATTTTCCAAATTTTTTTTAATAACTCTACGGATACTGATATTACTATATTTCAAAAATACAATATGTGTGTCTGATAATTTAATATATTACCATACTTATCATTCTATATGGTGGATAGTGATTCCAATATAGTAATTTTTCATTAACCAAAAAATGTTGCCTCCCCCCGCTCCCTCCCAATTTTTTTCTCTGGATCCGTGCCTGGAAGTGGTGCCCATTCAAACTTCCAATTATAATATAGTATTATGATATCAATTGTAAATAAATAATTTACCTAACGACATTAATAAATTATCTATACGTCAGTGGCACCGAATTCATAATTTTTTTTGCGAAGCGAAATCTAGAATTTTTCGGTGTGGACTTATAATTTTTTTTTATTACCGTCTAATTTAGAGGTATTGAAGACTTTGTTTTTTAATTTAAGAGTCGTAAAATTGAATCTTCGTGAAAGTGCTAGATTAATTATTCGAGAAGTGTTTGTTTTTTGGGAAAAAGCCCGTATTCCAGTACGATTAGAAAAACACTGTATATCTAAAGTTGAATCTTTATACGATGAGTGGAGAACACTTCTAAAGCATGCCACAAGAAATACAGAAAGTCATAAGGAACACGAAAAACTGTTTATTTCAACATTTAATGATTTATTTGATGTAGCCCATGCTGATGCTCTACAAATTATGAAAATCGAAACAGATAGACTATTTTTAATAAATCAACGAAAAAAAGGACGTATAGGATTTATGTATGGCATTGATTATACAAATATGCGAAAAGAGCAACTTTCTATGGAAAGAAAAAATAAAACACTTGTAACAGAAAAGCGAAGTACCCAATCTGAAGGTAATTGTAAATGTTAATTTATGTTTTTATATATTTGGTTTAATAAATGGAATAATATTTATTTTTTTTTCTTAGACAATTTAATGGAAATAGACGAAATATCAAGTGACTTAGAGATAGACGACTTTTCTAGTCACTCGGAGATGGACGAATCTTTTAGTTCCGTAGAAATAGATGTTGGACCTTCATCATCAAAACGAGTAAGAGGACAGAAGAACATAATTACTACTAAATTAGTTTGTGCACTAGACAACTGTAAAGTAAGTGATAGTGGGGCAATTCATATCATTATGGCAGTGGTAGAAGCTCTAAAAAAAAATGTGGAGGACTTTGTTATTAATAGGACATCAATTCAACGTTGTCGACAGATTTTGCGTAAGGAGAGAGCGAGTATAATAAAAGATAAATTTCAAGTAAGTGATCTTAAAGCTGTTGTATTACACTGGGACGGCAAGCTTCTTCCTAATTTGGTTGGAAAAGATATTATTGATAGGCTAGCCATTGCAATTTCAAGTGGTGATACAGAAAAAATTTTAAGTATTCCAGTTTTACAAAAAGCAACGGCAAATAAACAGGCAGAAGTTATTTACAAAACTTTAATTGAATGGAATATACAACATTCAGTTAAAGCTCTGTCGTTTGATACAACTGCAGTTAATAGTGGTCGATTGGGTGGTACTTGTGTATTATTAGAAAGGCTTTTAGGAAAAAAATTATTTTATTTGCCATGCAGACATCTTATTTATGAAATAATTTTACGAAGCGTTTTTGAGGAAAAATTAAATAAACCATCAGCTAAAGAAGTATCTATTTTCAATAGATTCCAGCTCTCGTGGAATAAAATAAACAAGGACAATTTTTCTCCAGGTATTTCGGACAAACAAATTAAAGAAATTATTAACCCACATTCAACAAGAGTCTTAGAGTTTGTAAAAGAATATTTGAAAATTGTACAACCTCGATACGATTACAAGGAGTTACTCGATTTAACAATGATTTTTCTTTGTGCTAAACCAAATAATACGACTTTTTTCCATACTCCCGGTGCAACTCACCATGCAAGATGGATGGCAAAAGCTATTTATTCTCTTAAAATATACATGTTCCGTAATGAATTTGAATTAAGTAGTTTTGAAAAAAACGGACTTCGTGATATTTGTATATTTGTAGTTACAATTTATATCGAAGCATGGTTTACAGCACCTACTGCTGCAGCCGCACCATATCAAGATTTACTTTTTATACAAAAATTGTACAACTATAGTTCAATTGATAATAATGTATCTAGAGTAGCAATGAATAAATTTCGAAATCATTTGTGGTATCTAACACCCGAAGCAGTTGCATTGGCATTTTTCGATAAAATTATTTCTATTGAATCAAAAAGAAAAATGATCGTTAAACTAAATTATAAAACAGATTCAAACGAGAATATCAAACGATTAAATTTAAAAGAATCAGAAATTTCAGAATTTGTGAAAAATGAAATAGAGTTTTTCGTCTCAAGTGAAACTTTAGATTTTTTCAAAATATTTAACTTGGATACAGAATTTCTTTTAAATGACCCAGCAGATTGGAGTGAAAACTTATCTTTTCAAAATGCATTGCAAATGGTTTCTAAACTGAAAACTGTCAATGATACGGCCGAGAGGGGAATAAAATTGATTGAAGACTACAATTCAATACTCACCACCAATGAGGAACAAAAACAGTTTTTGTTACAAGTTGTAAGTGATTACAGAAAAATATTTCCTGACTGCAAAAAGGAAACATTAAAAAAAAAATTGTGACAAAGCATATGAGTAATTATTTTTAAACATTATAATAGACAACTTAGTTTTAAAAATGTTCTACATTTGTAATTTTAATGAATCGTTCGGCATACATAAATATAAAACAATAAAAAATGGTTTAGCCAGATATGTTTAGTTTTTACTTATTTTTTGCTTAAAATTGTAACTGTGCCAGTAATAAATGATGTAATAATGAAAAAGTGACATTTTTGAAATTGTCATAAAATGTAGAGTAAACTTCATTACTTATATCAATTAATATTTTATGTTCTTTGGTTGAAAAAAAAATATATAACCTAATGTCAGTGATTTTTGTAAGAAATTACAAAACTACTGAATTTCAAGTTCCCGGGGGCACGGCTAAAAACTGAACAATTGATTTCAAACTTTGCAGTTAATATTAAATTGGGCATTTACAAAAAACAGGTGGGTGCCACAAAAAAAATTTTAATATTTATTTTTAAGGGCCACCCTAAGGTACCTACTCAAAATAAACAAGAAATATAACTGTCAACCACGACGGATTAAGTCCGTGCTATCAACTTATAACAATTAAATAATCGACCTTTGGGTCGATCTGTTGAACGATATCGAATTTATTACGTATGAGTTTAAGACTTCTGGTCTTTATAAAAGATAAATATTATTATCAGGTACTTGTTACTTCTGGTATTTATTTAAACACAGTTACACACAAACACCTTCCAAAACTACCCAACTTTGAGGAGTTATATCTCATCAATGGATTAATGAAAAATAAAAATTTAATCGTGATAATTCATAAAAAAAATAGCTTTATTAATTTATGAAATTAAAAGTATAGGTTACCATTTGAAAATCAAGTTGATAGTGTTTTTCCTAATAAATATGAGGGTGAAAAATATAAAAAAAATTATATAATTCTAGAACAGCGTAGATCTAAAATTTTGAAGAAAAAAAAATTTGAAAAAAGTGAATAGTTTTTGAGATAATGAGTGTTTTACGCTTAATCAATCACCCTTTATATTCAATTAGAATTATGTATTTTTAATTTAAATTAGCTACATTCTCTTATATATAATTGATTGTTTTAACAATTTAACCTTTTGAATGTATTGTAATGTAGCTTATATCCATAAATCAGATTTTTATATAAAAATTAGATATGAATAATCTTGCTGTTCTACATAAACTATTGTAATGTAGTTAAAAATACACTTTTAATTAACTTGAAGACAGAAAAGAAAAATTTCAGATGAAAACGTTTAATTCGTCAAGCTATAGAACAAAACGCAGACGAATCAACAATGAATTAAGTGCTTTAGAAAGTTCTGATGATGATAATGACTTGAGTATACAAAATAAAACTTGTACTTTTGTTTCTAATTCCATTGAACCTTCAAAAATTAATCGCAATAACATTCATCAACAACCTCTTATACCTGTTTGGGAGGAAAACATTGGATCAACTCAACTCAATCCACACTTATTAATTATATTGAAAACACAGATTCTAAACTACAAGGTGATATTAATGAAAGTCTTAGGAGGTGGGCTACAGATTTCAATATTCCACAAAACGCTCTTAATGCTCTTCTTAAAGTGCTTAAATATGACGCTGGTCTTTCATGTTTACCAAAAGATTCTCGTACATTACTTTAGTGTAAATCTACAAAAATAACAAATTTAAGAAATGTAGAGCCATTTTGGTTTAAGTGCTAGTATAATAAAATATTCATCTATGCTGTCTTTGCCTGACATAATTAAAATTGCTGTGGGAGTCGACGGATTACCTTTATCTAAAAGCAGTTCAAGCCAATTTTGGCCTATATTAGCTTACATGTTTAAACAATTATCTTGTTGTGAAATAATTATTTATTAATTATAATACTAATATTTGTTCGTCAGCACCGGTAGAGAGATTGTTTTCATTTGCTGGCTTCATAATAGCACCTACTTGTTCCCGGTTGTCTGACGAACAATTCGAAAAACTAGTATTTTTAAAAGGCAATCAAAATTATGTATATTAATTATTTATGTAATTAATTTATTATTTACTTATATAAGGATGATATTTATTGTGTATGTATATGCTTGATATAACATAGTACAACTATTTTATATATTTATAATGTCTATTATAATGTAAAAATTAAAAATATATTATGTGCCTTTTATATTAATGTATTAAAAAATTATAATTAATTTATAAACTTATTTTTTTTTTTTTTAGAAGCAATCCGTTCACTAAAAAAATTTTCTGACATTCCAAATATAGAAGTTGAAAAACCGTTAAAAAATTGGATGGCTCAAGCTGCACAACGAGTGAAACTTAGGAAACAAAAAAATGACATAATTAATGAACATGTCAATAATTAAAAAAATAAATAAACCTATTAACTGATTAATATTATAATTTAATGACTCTTTTTAAACTTAATTAAATCTCCCATCCCTTCTTTTCTTCCTTATTATATTTTAATAGCATGTCCCAGATAGCAAAATAATGTTATTTTAACAAGTAAACAATATTAAATAAAAAATATTAAAATTCTTAAAACATTTCCAGATGTTTATACAAAAATTATTAAATGTTCATATAACATTCTCTTATGATTTTTTGGCCACAAAAATAATGTTATTTCAAAGTTACTCGTATAATATTACAAGGTTATTACTTTATTATTTCTATAATTTTACTTCAATATTATGATAATCTTTAAAAATGTTCTCAAAATATTTGGTAAAATTGCAATAATATTTCACAGAATCTTATAGAATCAACTTTAAGAAAATATTTGCAATATAATTTGTAAATCATCGGTTTGAAATAATTCAGTTTGTCATCTTGTATCGCCTAATTTTTGTCAGCTTATGTTGCCAATACAGCATAAATTCCACATTAATAATAGGAAAATTGAAAAGCTTAGGATATAATAAAAAATAACAGTATCATTGTTGAATTATATTATAATATTAAAATTCAAATAACATTAGGTTGTAGATTTTCAATAGTAATAGTATATAGGTATATAGAAGTATTTTGTACATATTAAAATCAAAATTCTTCCTTTATTTTATATATTGCAGTATATAAATTTGCATTATTAACATATATAATATAGTATGAAATTAAAATTTTTATAAAAGTTTCTTTTATTTTGATAGCATCCTTGCTATTGGAAATTATACTTTAAAATAATATGTTGTAATATAATGAAATTATAAATATTAAAAATTAAATCATATTCTTAAAAAGTAATGTTATTATGTTCCTCTTCCTCGGATTGTTTTTTTGTTTTTATTCGAAATGGGGCGTGAGCAAGCCATGTTCCCAAAGGAATATCAATCTCCTTTTCTGTATTAAACTTGTATTTTAGATGTTTTCTCAATGCATCTGAAATATATTATTTAAATATAAGTATAGTATATATTTATATTTCATCAAAGGTTAATAATTATTTTAATACAGTCAATTCCCATACACTCAATGCAATATTTGTCGGGAAAATTAAATGTAAAAATAGTTGAGCATAAATAACTTCAAGTTATATCTTAAATGTTATCAATAAAATAACCGGTTTAAAATCATAAATGCACAGATTAATAACTATCACTAGTATAATTGTGCCGTAAAATAATAGACAGTTACCATATATCTTTGTTGTACAGTTATTATGTCTTTTAAACGTAAATTGGTTACATTAACAACTGTGTGAAAAAGTGAGGAAATGAAATTTCCAAGCAATTTAATATTCCAACGAGTATACTTTTAACGATTCTGAAAATTAAAGACTATATTTAACGAATGTATAAAGCCAATAAAGGGTCTATGAAAAGAATGAAGATTTCTGAGTATAGGAAAGATAACGGATAGTATACGAATAAACCTGATATAAAGGTTAGTATACTCAATTGGTTTATTCAAAGTAGAGATTTAAACATTCCAAAAAATGGACCAAATCAGGGGGGAAGGCTGAATTTTTTCTACTAAAATTGGCCACAAACAATCTAAAGCTAGTCAACAGTATATGCACATTTCAACTTTTGACTTGGCCTAGGGAGCTGAATATATATTAAAAAATAAACAGACATTTATGAAATAACATTTTAAAATTGTATGTCCTACATTTTTTTTTTTTGAGGGGCTAAGTTCCCCCAAACCCCCTTAAATTTGCACCTATGAGAACATAATTTTAATTTTTAATATTTTAAATCAATAATTTTAATGAAATATAATAATGTCATATTTTGGTTAACTAAGTATTATATTATTATAGTTCATCATAACATAATAAATGTTATATATTTTTTACCTATAATTATACGATAACATGATTAACTTGTAAAAGATTTTTTCTTTTTGAAGCCATATAGTGAATAGTTTGATAGGAATTGGTCATCAAACATGCGCGCCATAATTCTCCTAATACTATTACCAAGGTCTTTATTACCAACTAGTAATGCAATTTTACCCACCTAAAAATAATGAAATATAATAATTAATTTATCAAGTGGTTTCATAATAATATACATATTTTTATAGTTACCAAAGAAGTTCTAAAATCTGAATCTTTTGATTTTTCTTCAAATGCTTGCAATTCATCTTCATCTTTTATTGGAAATAATATATCCATATTTACAAGATCATCGTCTGTATGAATAACTGTCATTTTTTCTTTCAAGAGTTTTTCTATACTATCATTCGTAGTATGGCATAGGAACGTTAAACATTGTATTTCATGTTTTATAAAGGCATGAGATGTTAAAAATACTCTTTGAAAATCTAAAAATTAAGTTATAGAGCATTAATTACTTGTAATACATCAATAATAATATGGATAATAATAATATGGATAATAATAATAATAATAATATTTCAACATTATTTCATCTGCATAGTAGAGAATGTTTTATGCACCGCATATGAAAATAATTATTTATGGAAATCAGTTACTCTAAAAATGTACTAAGTCAATATACTGATAGTAACATTTGAATATTAAGAATTGATTTTGCTTAACAAATATAATATAAAAATTTATTAAAAAGGTATAAATAAAGTCTTTAATATGATAATACCTATAATAATAAATGTATATTTTTTGAATTGATGTCATTATTAACTGTGTACTATATATTATTCTTGTGTAGGCATTCAAATTTATATAATATTTAATAATTATTACATACATATACCTTTTAGAGATTTTGCTATATTTTCAATTGTTAACTGGTTACCATGACCTTCTAGATAAAATATAAATATACAAAACTTTAATAAATACCTAGTAGTAGTGAAAAGTAAATAACACAGATACCTGAATTTTCTGCATTGTTTTCTTTAAAAATTAATCGTCTTTTAACAGCACTATTGATTGATGATATTGATTCGTTTATAATTTGTTTTCCTGTGTCATCTGGTGTTACAGTCCATAACCCACTAGGTGAATTTAAAATCCGGTCTGATTTTTTCAATGATTTCAATGGTGTAATTTGAGTAATACTATCATTATCACCTAATTTAAATAAATAGTTCCACATCATAAGTTTAATAACCCACGTAAGCAGTGGCGTGGCGAAGTGAAATATTTGATCGGGCAATTCATTGTTTTATTGACCTACCAACCATTCAGTGGCTTATTTTATCTTATTCTTATACATATTCAAACGTAGTTAGTTTTGTACAACAATATTTCTCATTAAATCCAGAAATCCAGTACTCACAGCCCGGCACCCACCCACCCACACCAAAATTATCAGGCACCTGCCCTTCAAAATCACGGTCAACCCGCCACTGCACGTAAGTAATGAAGGCGAAATATATATTTGAAAAATAAATAAACCTTATTATAGTATTAGGACATTATCAGGTATATGTATAGTTATTATATTATGATATACATTCAAACACTAAATTAATTAATATAAGTGGTAAACTAACATACATTTTGATTAAGTTCTTTTAAAATAATATTTAGATTACCTATATGTTGAAAGTCAGTTTTATTTTTATCTGTGAACCATGTCAAGTCAATGTCAGAGGCTGAATCATCGTGGTTTGAATCTGAGTCATTGATCACAAGCTTTTTAGAAATCTTTTTGCTTTTGGAATCTTAAATAAATAAATAAATACCATATATATAAATTTTAAAAAATCATTAGATAAAAAAAGTCAACACCAACTATACTATACCTTCAGGTATATAACGAGGAGGACAACTATTATTTATTAAAACATTTGATTTTAAATTGCTGCTTTTAGTTTTTTTTAAATTTTCTTTATTGGGAGATTCACTATAATGACGTTTCTTCGTTAATCTTCTATAATATTCATCATCCTCAGTACTAGATATATCCGATTTATGCATGGCTTTGGGTAACTTAGATCTAGCTTCAGCCAAAGAACCTGAAATATATTTTCAAACATTTAAATAAACAATGATTATACAAATTTTAAGTTTAAAATAACATTTTAATATAAAATACTACTCACTGTATACTTTGTTTCCCAATTTTCTAGCATTGAAAAAAGTGAAATCATTATTATTAGGTTTCACACGTCTTTCAATATATTTTTTTATTTGCTTGGATTTGGCTGGCCATGCACAATTATTTTTTTTTAACCATATATCTGGTACTGCTTCTACACTATTGTCATTGTTGAATATAACTATAATCCAGCCACTTATTTGTTGGTCCATCTAAAAGAATATTACAGTTTAATAAAACAATATTATATTTATCAGTATAGTAGTTATTATTACCTAGGAATAAAATGTATCTTCTTATTTACACTACGTACAAAATTAAATAGGTATACCTATATAGGTATATATCTGCTCTACTCATAACTAAGACTAAATTTATTTTTTCATTTTTATTCAATTATATTTAAAAATTTAAAATACATAATATTTACAGGATAAAATTTAATAGCATAGATTTAAAAATCAGAATGAATAATAGGCATCGCTATATATTTATCATTATGATTAAATACAATCATTTTTTTTTTCAAATCTATTATTTTCCAACACTGAATAGTTTTGGAAAGATTTTTAACTTTATATATATGCAGTATTCTTGAATCTATAGGGTCTTCATATAATGGTTTTGTATTTTTAAATATACAACCTAATATTAAAACTTCTTCACCTCTTTGGCAAAAGTTTAAACATTTAATAACTTCATTATTTTTAGTGAGAATAAAAGAATCTTTTTCTTTTTTTATTTGTATTTTCAAATGTTTGTACAATAAAGTGAAATATTGTGGACCAGTTATATTTTCAAGTAATGGGCCATTACTATGCATATGTTGCAAAATAGGTTTTTGAATAAATTGTTTATTGTTCATGTTTGAATTTGTAATATTAGCATAGCATTTTTCATTGTATCTATTTATAACCTGTTGTAATGGCTTATCGTGTTTTCTTACAAATGACTTAAGTTCTTTCATATAATTTTCAAACATAAATGTTGAACAGTTATGAAGTGGACCATAATGTTCATAATCATCACAAAGATGTAGTAATCCATGAACATTATGGGACACAAAGTGTGCACCATAAATATTTTGAAAACTCATTACAAAGTATTTTAATAGTTGACGTGCATAATCCACGAGGTGACTGCAATCTGGACTTAAAAGAATAATCATTGCAATGTTCAATGCCATAAAATTAGTATAACACTCTTTTCTTATGATTTTCTTTAATACAATTGGCCCAGTATACAACAAAAAAAAACGGAATTCTGTCGCTTTCCATCGGCTTAACTCTTGTAAAGTTCGGCTTTTTCTTACAAAATCAGAAGTAACGTATACATTAAGATTTAATAAATATAAAGATAACTCATTAATTTTTGCTGCCCGTATTCGAACATTAACTGGACCTTTGCTTACCCACAACATTAATAATTTTTTCATTACTCCCAAACAAACCAGATGCATATAATCAAGTGAGAAAGAAAAAACAGAATCAAAATTTGGTAATTCTACAAGATTTGATATTACACTGCCAACATGGTATTCTTCATCTGTCATATTAATGTAATTTTGGTGATTTCTCATAGTTGATTGAATTTCAGTGTACGGAAAACAAACTCTACCCTTTAAATATTCACCTTCGATGGTACATCTTGTGCATGATGAAAACCCACTATGGCCTTTGATTTTTAAAATGAAAGATTTTGCCGGCACATCACAGCAAAAAATTCTAATTGAAACACTAATTTTAGTATTATTAATTATAATTCCATGTAAGGTAAGATCATTGGCTTCTTTCACAAAATCTGACAGATAGTCATTACTATCAAGTGGTTTCTCTTTTCCATAATATAGACCAACCAAAAACACCACTTTAGTTAATAATGTAGCTTCTTCTATGATATACGCGAGTATAGGCCAAAACTGACTGTTATTACTTTTAGTCAGAGGTAATCCGTCAATACCTATGACAACCTGAATTTTTTTGATATTTGATGAAGTATGGTTTAAGATTCCATTAGCCAAACCAAAATGGTGATATATTCCAGGTTTAACAGTACGAATTTCTTTGGAAATATTAAATGGAATTTTCAATAATGTACGTGCATCGGATGGAAGATTCTTAAGACTATTAATAATACTGTATTGGTGGTTTTTTAAACCATTTAATAACATATTTATTGCATTGTGAGAAATGTTACACTCTACTGCCCAATTAGCTAAAAATGCATTTATAGTAGATATTTGTGGTGACGAAACTGGTAAATCTAATAATGAGCAAGACTCAGCTACTGGAGTAACGTTTTCCAAGAAATCATCAGATACTTGAGAAATGGGTGGAGAAACTATGGCAGTATCAACAAGGGTATCTGCAACTACAGCATCATTATTTCCAAATACAACATTACTAGTTAAAAAAGGTATATTTTGTTTTTTAAATATGTTGATATTTTGTCCTTCATAAAGTTCAATATTTTGTCCCTCAGATAACTTGGAAGTGTTTTCATCTAATTCACGGTTTGAATATATTTCCTCAAATAAATTTATTTCTTGTCTAGTTTTTCTTCTTTTTGTTCTACTACTTTTAATCATTGTTTTTAATTTGGATTTTTAGTTTATGACTATTGAAATAAATTAATAAATACTAATTCAACTTGAAAATCTGTAACCAAAGAAAAACAAATACCTAATATGGGTAACTCTTATTTATTAACATTTGATTATTGTTTTTAAAAATGTTATTTGGATATTATTTGTTCCTTGTTTACCTATGTATATAACATAGGTTGCATAATTGATTATATAATATTCCATTCTTACATATACTATATATAGTAGCTAGGTAATGAATATTATAGCAAAAATATAAGTTAATAAGGAACTTGGTAATAATTTTTTAAGTTATTTCTAACGCTATACAATTTTATTTTTTATTTACTTGCCTAACTCATTAAAAACACTGTGTACACAGTGTTTTTAAGTACCTAAATACTTTGTAATAAATAATAATATAAATAAAAAATAATAAAATAAATTTATTTTACAATAAACATTTAATATGATAATATGTAGTTTCATAATAAATATTGCAGTTTCAGTATCTATATTAACAGCTACTACCTATAGGTACCTACTTTTGTACATAGTTTTAAGTTATTTATGAAAATTGTCACATAGTTAAGTTTTTACTGGCTTTAAAAAACTATATATTTATTTAGTGTATACTTATATTTATATTAATCTTTCCTAACTCTTATACTAGGAAGGTGTTTATAGAAACTACAATTAGGTACATTGATATCAATAAAAATATTTCATTTTATACACAATATATTAAGGTACAAATTGCGGTACAACTCCGGTATTAAAGTCTCCATAACTTTAGATATACCTTTACCTACCCAACTTTTATTGTATTATAATTTAACTCACTAGCGGCTAGCCTATCAGTTCTCCCGGGACACATTAAATAATAATAATAAATATAAGATATACTAATATCGTAATAATTGAACGCATCGATAGATTATAAACATTTAAACGACAAATATTATGCATATAATAGTAAATAAATAATAATTATTAAATACTTACGTTATTGTTCAAGACGTAAATGTCTACACGAGGGACGACTGGACAAGACGAGACGAGCACACTGCAATCATACAATGTGTCGATGTTACGATGCACGGATGTCGGATAACGATTAACGGGATAAATCCTAGAGAAATTAGATAAAATATCGTAATATTTAAACGAATCGAGTGATTTTAAACGACAAATATTATGTACCTAGTACCTATATAATAGTAAATAAATAATAATTATTAAATACTTACGTTATTGTTCACGACGTTAATGTCTACACGAGAGACGACTGACGAGACGAGCACACTGCAAACATACAATGTGTATTTATGTGTCGATGTTACGATGCACGGATGTCGGATAACGATTAACGGGATAAGTCCTAGAAAAATTAGATATAATAATATCGTAATATTTAAACGAATCGAGTGATTTTAAACGACAAATATTATGTACCTATAGTACCTATATAATAGTAAATAAATAATAATTATTAAATACTTACGTTATTGTTCACGACGTTAATGTCTACACGAGGGACGACTGGACGAGACGAGCACATGAACACCGGAACATTCAATATGACGATGTGACAACTGACAATGCACGTATAATGAAGAACGAATCGAGTGATTTTAAACAACAAATATTATGTATAAAATAGTTATAAATAGTTATTATTAAATACGTATACGTTATTATTCACGACGTAAATGTCTACACAGTGTCACAGTACACGACTACACGAGGGACAACTGGACGAGACGAGCAAAACGAACATAAAATACGATGTGTCGATGTCACGCTTACAATCATAGAGTAATTACTCTATGCTTACAATGCACCGATAACGATTAACAGCCAACGGCCAACGGAATAAATACTTGAGAATTCGATCACTGATATAATAATTATAAATTTATAATCTATTTGATATTATCGTACCCCGCTAGTCACCGTCAACCATCACACGAGCACGACTCGCTAGCTATTTTCGTTTCAAACATTATATTACACAAATATCTATTAATAATCGCGGATACCAGATAACCAATAATAATATACAAAATAAAACAACTGCAATAGTGCAGTGAACTATTTCAAAAGATAATTCTAATATTATATAATCATCCCGCTTTCGTGACAACGTTCGGCAATACGCATCTCCCACCAATAAGAACCACCGCCAGTCCAAATATTGTTGTTCGCAACGGCCGCGGGCCGACGAGCACTCATAAGGTCGCTGTGCAAAGTCCAAATACTGCAATTAGTGCATAATATCACTCTTCACTATAATATATACAATATTACCCAAAATAGAAATTGAAAACCAATGGATTCTATTTACTTAGGTTGCCACACACTGCAGCGGTAGCGGTGGCGGACTGCGGTTACGGCTAAATACAGCAAAATGAAGCCGGACACAATTTTACCGCCACCACGGCGGCACCGTAAGATAAAAGAATTTTACCGTCACCGCTGCAGTGTGTGGCGACGAGTTAAAACTCTTGTAAGGTTCTAATTGGAACGGCCATAAAATTAATATGATGATAATTATTTTTAATATTAATTTGTGTTTGTTTACTCGATAGTAAATTGAGTATTTTTACATTTTATTGAGGTTATGGCTTTAATAATATTGTAGCGAAGCTCGTAGGTAAATTTTCGATCACTATACGTTGTTATTGCGATAATGCTATTAGACAAAGCTAAATATACTCGTAGTATTACGAACACTTATTTTGGGTCTAAATTTATTGGAGTGTGGGTGAAAATTACAATCGACCAAATGGCAAATAATATATTTATAAATTATATATACATAATATATCAATGTTTTATCGCAATAATATTTTTTTTATTATTATATGTATAAGACTATATATATAATATTATTATAATTATGTATACAATTAAAAATTCAATATTATTTTATATTTTTAATTTTACATTATTTACATATTTTCGGAAAATTACAACTAAAATAACATAAATTTAACCAGCTGGAAAAAATCAGAAAATATTTTCGAAATAATGTTATTTTACGTTGATAACTAAATTTTATTATACTATTAAAGCAAAGTTAAAAATTTAATATTACAAAAAAAACCAAATCGTGATTTTATGAAAATGTTTAAAAAATAATATAACTATTTTAAACTCTATAAAACATTTTAAAAAGGTTAACATTATAATATTTGAAAATTAGTCTAGTTTCAATGTTATTGAAACATCAATGTTATGAAATTGCTATCTGGGCACTTTCATGGAAATACTTTGAGTGGAAAATCCAACGAAATTTTCGTGCATTTCCATGTATCTTGGACTGTAACTTTTTGACAATTCAATTTAGAATTTTCTACTCTACACCAT